AAGATTTCTCAATATATTTAGTAATTCTATTCCACTGTAAATTGCTCAAATGCACTTTCTGCGAATTCAGGGTTGCGACTCCAGCTTGATTGTGTAAGCCAGAAATTTGCAAACAATATTTTATTTACAAGTGGAAATCAACAAAATAAAATGCCAACAAACAATGGAATAATCTTACCTGATAATGCTAATGACTGCATTCAACGAAAGTAACTTTGCAGTGTGAATAACTTTCACTGCGCAATAGTCAGAAGTCGGGGAGAAGGGCGGACGAAAATAAGATTCCGACGTACTTTTCGCTGAAATAATAAATAATATTGCAATAAAACTAAAACAAGTGGCTGGTGAAATAGCTGAATGAGGTGACAGCATTTCTGCTTTTACACAAACAAAAACAATATTAATGCAAGTGGGAAGAGATAAGACTGCTCAGGCTTTCGAAACTAAAATAAAAAATTCACTGAGGTAATAAAGGGCTCAGAAAGCTTACGAACTATGTGCGAGCCAAGCAAAAATACAATTTGCACTTTTATATAAAACGAATGTGTTTATATGTGCATGTGCATAATTTTATGGCAAATGTGCACTTACTTACTTGCACAGCTGATAACTCCCATAGGGCTGATAGTGGCACTGCGACCATCCAACTAGCTGATAACGAAACTAAAAACCAAGCGATAATTTCGAAAGGGAGCGAAAACTAATAAATGGCATTGTAAATTAATGGCGATAAATTTTCCTTTATTATGCTTACAATGCTTTTCGGTTGTCACAGCGAGAGCAGGGCAAACAGGTCAAAGCGATGGTGTATTTTACTCACTTTTTTTAATTTTTATAAATCACGAAAAATAAATCACATGTCTTATTTAAAAGTTAACAATGATCTGATGTTATTTCAAGACCATTACGGAAGCAGTCTGTACTACTTCGCAACTTCATGATCTAGTCAGAGTTTAGCCAGAAGGCTTTTCAAATGAAATGCACGCTTACTGCGGATTGGGATGTCAATTAAAATATAAGCAGTTATCTACACAGTCTTAGGATACATACATATGTATGTGGGCAGAAAGAATTATTAACTGGTCTAAAATATTTACATTCATTTCGTATGGAAATTCACTTTCTTTTTACTTCTCTTTTGCTAGCAATTATATTACAAAAGAATCATTCTCGTTTTAAATGAACCATTTTTTACCCCAAAAATATTTCGGAAAGCCAGCTATAAACATATTCACAGCAATACACTAGTGCAAACATGCTTGTTATGAAGCCACATAGAAGCCACAAGCGAAAGTTTCTCTGACCAACACCCACAAAAATGCGCTCATTCGTACATATGTATGTATGTAAGCGTATGTGCTGCTCCTAAGCTACCTTTGTAGGAATGAATGTGCGAATAAGTGTGTGTGTGTGTGTGTGCAGTTAAGAAGGGCATTGACATAACCTATGCCAATAACTGGCTAAGAAGAACAAGAACAACAGCCAAGTAATTCCCGTTTCGGCTTACAAGCAACCCTTAATGTTCATGACGAAAACATATTTCATCATCGCCGTCGGCGTCAGCCTCGTCATCGTTGTTGTTGACGCCAAAGTCAAATCGAAGATATTATGCACATTCTTAGTACACCAACAAAGCACAACATTTTCATGCAATGTGCTCTCGTCATGGTATTTTAGAGGTTACTCATACGCTGCGTAGTATTTCTTGCAGACCACGAGAAGACTTTGCAGCTAAAGATTTGTATGCTTCTATGCAACGTGCACTTACATAGTCGTATTTACACCTATGTGCGTATGTACTATGCAATGCATTCCTGCTACGCCCATTGCGAAGTGGATGTCTGCTCGTTCAACAAAACAGCTCTCTCTAAGTTCTGCGCTCTCTTTAAAGCAATGCGCATGTGCTGTTTTTGTTGTTTTTATTGTTGTGTGCTCTGCTCTTGCTGAAGGAGGCCAATAAAGATGAAAAAAAATTTGTATAGTGAAAAGTAATTTTCAAGGTTAAAGTGCAACGAAACCGCAAAACGCCAACAATGCACTTGGCCATTGAGAGCCGCTATGTATTATATGTAAACACATGTGCATACTCGTATGTATATTTCTCCATATACTCGTACGCGTATGTCAGATAAGTTAAACGTTAGAGCTGGCAGAAAGGGTTGGCATAGGCAATAACAAGAGCCGATATTTGTCAAGGGTGCGAGGGGTGCGAGGGGTGCGTCATTCAGGTGTATGTTCACATGTGTGTGAAGTAGAAAATAAGCTGAGTAACAGTAAAAGTAACCGTAAAGTTGCAGTCAATGACATTTCGGCTAATTATGGGGGCAAGTGGAAGTGAGTGGTCGATATAAGGCCTTTCCGTTTATATATAGAAGATATTTATTATATTCAAATTTATTATTAAAATGTAATATTTTATGTATTATATTAAAGAACGTTTTAATTTGTTAAAATTCACATTTCCATTCAATTCTTTAAATTCGATTTGGTTTCGCTTTTACTTTCAAGAAGCTGAAATTAGAACTGCTCTCAGCTCCCGCCGCTTATTATTACAGGCAATAAAGCAAATAAATATTCAGTTAAAAAAAAATGCAAATGAAATGTGAAAATGAAAGTCTTTTGTTCCTTTTATTCTTTATTTATTTATTTTTTTTCCTATTTCATTTTTTCGCATCCACTTGTTAACACTTTTTCGCTACACCTTTGCGCGTCATCGTGTGCACAGCTTGTTGAAAATGAATTAAGCAATTTGCAGTCACGAAATTACAAACAAAACAAAGGGAAAAACAGAAGAACAAACAAAATGATTATAAAAATGTGTGCGCTGAATGCAATGCAAATATGACAATTTTTTACACACACATATATACGCTCAGATATTATATGTGAGTAAATTGTATTTGTAAATGCATGCTTTGTAAATAAAATGCAAAATCAATACAAAAAATTCAAACTTCCACAGTAAAAATAAAAAATGAAAAAGGGAAAAAATAAAACAACCGCAATTGCTAACAATCAATTTAAAATATCCAGCCAGCTGTTGCCGCTCGACCTTGAGCTGCCAGCAATCAAATGCTTAGTCACACATGCATGCATACATAGTATCATGCAAATTTTTTAATGCACACACATATGCATATTGCGCAGTCTCTCTATATGTATGTATGTCCGGACTCTTGTGCAATTGTAGGCGGGAAGCCTGTTTTGAGGTAACAATTGAAGCTCACTGCAAGTGAAAGCGATTATTTAGGGAAAAAATATTGCGAACTACGCTTTGTGAAACAAATAATAAATCTGTTGTTGAAAGCGAAATTAGCAATAGACAATTATATAAGTTTCAAACAAATAAAACCTAATGACATTAGTAAACAATTTTCTTTAAATATTATTATCAAAAAAAAAATTAAATAAAAAGGAATTAAATATACTCAAGCTTATTAAAACATATTGCTATTAAAAGAAATGTAATTTGGAATATATTATTTTATAAATATTAAAAAAAAGTAAAACTTATTTAAACTTTAATAAAAACATGAAAAAACACAACAAATTATTATTAGATGATAAATTTAAATCATACTTTACATATACATAAATGTATGAAGAAACTCGAATTGTCCTTGAAGATTTTAATTATATTTTTTTATTCACGCCTACTTTTTGTTATGAGCTACTCATCAACTCATTCAACGTCAACGGCTGCTTACAGAGCTATTAAATGATGATGATAATTATGTGTTTATGTTATTTTTTATGAAGCGTGTATAATTATCAACGCGTCATCATCGATCAATTACTTGAAAGCACAAATCAACATCCGGCAACGACACATTTGCAGCATTTAAATTTATACAAAGGAGTAAAATTAAATTTCAAATTTTTGTTTCAGGAAAAGTAAGACCTTTACCAATAAACAACAATTTTTTTTGCTCTCTTCAAAGTATAATTTGTGTTCCCTATGGAAGAAGTGAGTAATCCATGCTTTGCAATTTTCCGTCCATCTTCTTCTTCGTTAGCAGTTTTATTTTATCTATTAACAAATGTAAACACAACACAGCAAACTCTTGAGTACAGATTACAACAGCGAAGATGATAAGCGAACTAGGAAACCAGTCATAATTAGTTCAGCCTCAAAACTATTCCGAACTGATTCTTTTGTATGTTGGTGTAATTTATAAATTGAAGTTTTTTATTATTTCATTTATGAATAATTTGCGCTTAAAATCTTATTTCTCTTACCTCGAGATTTTAATTTAATTTTTTTTTTGCTTTAGAAAACGTGGGAAATTAAATAAAAAAGTAAATATAAAGAGAGCTTATACTTGAAGATGTTGTTTCAAAAGCACTTCTGCGATATCTCACTGGGTATTTGATCTAGCTAGTAGTCGCCGTCTTTGCTTCCCCTTGCAGTGCCGCTTTGAACGTTTGTAAAAATGCGAAATTGATAACGAACCGTCAAGGCCAAATGCAATAAAAGCTAAACTAAATGCATACTTTTTGCATTTGCTGTTGTTGTTGTTGTTGTTGTTGTTGTTGTTGTTTGCAATCGGGGAAAAGTGCAAATGTAGGAATATATGCACATATGCAAGTAGATGTGTATGATGGTGTAATGCCGATATTTGTATTTGTGAAATTGCCTTCAATTAAGTTAAGCTAATTAATTACCAATTCAATCAGATTTAATAAAAAAAAATAAGTTATTTGAATTATTCAGGTTAATATTTTAAGCTTTGTTGCTTTGTTCTATAGTCTTAAAAACTGTACGTTGTTTTTCGTTTTCCAATTTATATGGCATTTTTTCCAAAATCTGTGGAATCGGGTATCAGTATATAGTATTTCATTTCCCGGTTAGTTGAAATAGTTAAAAACCAACACAAATAATAAAAAAAGTTTATTGAATACATTTACTTCTCAAGAGCTATGCTCATTATTTGGATTTTCAAAATTAAATATCATTAACCGTATAATCATAACTAATGAATTCTCTTTTCTTATTTCAGGTAAGACTTTGGAAAATACCACCTGGTCTAATAAGAAGAATTTTTAACATATTTAAGGACAAATCGAGTTTCGTAAGTGCAAAATACAGTTATTCGTGTGGCTTCTGATTATACGCATAGACACATATCTTTCCTAATTAATTCAAATGTCAAATTTACATTTATTGCTCACCAAACAAAAACAGCAACCACTGCATTCATATACATTCTTATATATACATATATATGTATGTGCTTCTGATATTTGCCTATAAGCACCAATTTATATCGTTATTCCTCGCTACTTTTGAAAATATGTAAATATGAATATACATATATATATATATATTGTATATATATAACCAATAAAAATATGAGCACATATTTTGCATAAAAGTGCCAAACCCCATCTCCCCTCACACCCTCCCTGAATGCATTATTTGAATTAATTATTTGCATTCGCGCATTCAAACGCTTCCTGGTTGCAATAAAACGCACACCGAACGCCAGGCAAGGCAACAGATCGAGGGAGAGAAAGAAAGAAGAAAGATAACCGCAATATGCGCGTGGGAATGGCATAGAAAAAAATTCTGTACAAAAATATAAAGCAAGCAAATCAACAACAATGCGAAATACAAAAATATTTAATGACTGCAATTGCAATGGCAAGTGTAATCAACAAGTCATTAAAGGCGAAAAGTGAGAACACCCAGTGAGACTGGCGCTGGCGGCGGACGGTAGGCGAATACGCAAAAGTATGTGTATTGTGTGTACGAACTAAAAAGCAGAACTGATGCTGCGAAATACACAAGTGTGTAGGGGCGCACAGAGATGATTGTATTGTTGTTTTTGCGGTTATTGTCGCACTTGCATTGCGGCTTGCTACATAAAAGTGTGAAGCTCGCTATAAAAGTCGAATTTCTAATATATTTACATACATTGAAATGTATTTAAGTGATTCAAAAGTATTTCCTACGCCCGACCAATTGTTAGTCGGCCAGTCGGTCAGGCTGACCAAGCTTATACAATTTAAGCACACAGTACATAAGAGTTCATATACATAAGAACACACATCATCTGTTTTTGCTAACATGTGAAAAAAATTAAATGCTATATACTTAACTAGCGGTATTTACTTATAGTACAGTCTCCAAAAACGTTTTTGGAATTTATTCATATTTTCCTTAAAGCACAAGCACAAGCATCCATATGCATAAATATATAAATAAAAAAAAACCAAAATTAAAAAAAAAATGGAATTTAATAAAATAAAATGAAGTAAATTAAAAATTAAATTAAATAACAGTAAAATAAACGAAAATTTTATGAAGTGAAATTGACGAAAATAATGTACAATTGAAAGATCTTGAAAAAAGTCGAAAAAGTCTCCAGATTTTTGAGCAACTACAATTTCCAAAGCCATCAATTAATACTCAGTCGAGAATGCTTTGATAACAGTACTTTATGCCCTTTTTGCATTACGTGGCGTTCACAAATGTCAATGCCAATGTTAATGCTACGCACCATTTAATTCGTAAGCACAGATGTCCAATTGTGTTCATGGCATGCTTATCGTCGCTTATCAGCACTCGCTTTTCAGTTCAAGTGCAAGTACTAACGGTTAGCTTATCTATGAATACATTGACATAAGAACATTTGTACATAGCGGGTGGCCATATTGCTAACATTCAAAGCAAATTTTAATTCAGCCAATTTTATCGCATGCGTTCTTACATCACGCTTATATAGTATTTTCGTACGTATGTGTAATTTCTATTAACATTTGCTTTGAAATGAATACATGCTTGTGGTATGAGGAAGCGTTTGTACGTTGAGTATTTTTATGTCTTATCACATATTTAAAGCTTTGCCAATTTTATAATATTTGTTTATATTTTTAATAGTTTTCATACCGACTAAAGTTGGTTCTGTGAGTATTGAAGAATTCAATTTTGCTAGGTTGTATTGTAGCACGTTTAGCCTTTATATTTTTTATAACTCAGGAAATAGTAAATTCTTAATGGAAATTATTGTTATTGTTTTCTTTAGCATTACTTAAGGCCTTTAAATATGCTAAAATACATCTTTTTCTAAACTCTTTTCTTATTGTCTCTTTTGTTGCAATCACCGTTGCTCTTTCTTTGTTCTTCTTTCGCAAAGTGCTATGCGTCTGACTAAATAAAAATTGCCAGCTATTTACATACGTACATATATTGTCTACATTTCGTTGATTGGAAGTGTATAATTAAAAATCGCACACACATATTTGGATACCTACAAACATACATACATACATACATACATACATGAAAAAGTGTACCAAATGAAGCAAACAACATCCTCATATTACAAGCAAAGTGCCAGCGTCGCGACATTGAAGGTCGTCCTAGCACATAAAAAAGTATTTACGTGTACCTACAACATATGCACATATGTATATTCAAGATATGCTAATAAAAATAATGAAAAGTAGGGAAATAAATGCGGTACATTGCAGCATATATATGTTGCATTCACTCGTTGCATGTGCAACTGAAAATGTGGAATCTCTTTTTAATTGAATTGTGTTTCGAAAACAGAAATAAACACGAAAAGGAATTAAAATTATGCTCTCTAAAAATACAACAAAAACAATGAGTATATATTTCAATTTTCAAATTCTGAAAAGAAATCGGAAAAAATGAGAGCACATACACCTACAAAAACACGCAATTGGCTGGCAGCGCATGATCAATATTCACATCTGCCCAAAGCAGTTCAAGTTGAATGTCGACTGAGCAATCACATAAATAGAATTAGAAAATGCCATACAAAAGATAGAAAAGATGAAAACAATATAAAGCAATATAAGCTCTTTTCGCACACACACACACACACATATATATATTAGATGCGCTGCTGGCTCACTTATGCTGCGCTCAATAGTTTTTTTCTGTTTATTTAGTATTTTTATCACACCCTACCGCTCAGCTATCACGAGTTTTTATATCAGTTTTCTAAAAACAAAAACTTTTCCGCATCGCAGCTATTGAAGCTTCTTCATCTATCCCCATAAGCAAAGCAAATATTTGCCTGCACACACACACACACCCGCACAAGCACGCACACAACACACCTTCCGCTCCGCCAACTGTCTGGCACCCGCTTCAACAACAAGCCTTTTTATTAGCATCTGCCTTTTGCGCCGTACGTCGACTGCATTTTTATTATGTACTCTGGACGTGTGTGAGCCGGTGTGTGTGTGTGTGTTTGCATTACTCATTAGATTTGCGAGTGCATTCGTATCGGCGTCAGCGAATGTCCTTCAAATGCAATTTTGCGATTAGATGCGAAGCGCTTTTTACCGGCTAACGCAGTGAGCAAACGAGCAAACGAGCAAACGAGCAAACGAGCGAGCGGGCGTACATGCTCATACACATGTGCAAGTATACATATATGGAGAGTGTGTCTCTTTGGCGTTGTGCTTTGCATAATAGAATATCTGTGCGCTGCCGGTGGCTAAGCGCCGTCCGGTGCGGATGAGCAATGCACTGTGGCAGCAGCGTGCCAAATAGCTGCTAATTGCACTGGTGAGCGGGCCAGAGAGGTGACCAGATGCAGTCTTTCCCATATGTAAATCTTAATGTACATACAAGTATTTTAAGACCAAAGCTATGTGATTAATAATTTGATAACATTGGCGTTCCCAATAGCCGAGTGGTTTGCATTGAGTTCTGGCCACACCAACATCCAAAAATTATAGAAACTTCATTTTTCTAGTTGCTGTCGCCCTCGGCAGGAGCTTAGTAAAAACATATTGAAGACGTTTCAGCGGTTACATATTGCCAATTAAACATGTATACTCGTAACATCTAATAAATGTTTACTAGACTTAAAATTTATGCGTCATAAATATATTCATTAGATGAAAACGCATAAGAAATAAGAGTTTTGCAAATGGTCACCTTATCCAACATTTTACAACCACACATCAATTTCAATATGAAAATCGAATAGCTTTTCGTTTCGTTTGAAGCGTTACGCTATGTTCTTTTTTTGCACACTTCTATTTGCTAAGCTTCTTCTATTTATTGAAATTTTATTATTTGTTTATTTTGCTTTGAGTTCATAAGAATTTTCACTTCCTAGTTGTGATAGCAAATATACTGTACGTAAAAACTTGCAGTTTGATGCCAAGACACTTGGCGCGGGAATATTGTAGAATTTTATGAAAACGCAAAATGATTGCGTTGCTTGGGTACACACATATATTCATAGCCAAGGACACAAGGAAGTTATGAAATCTTAAAGAGGAAATTATGAATTGAATGAATAATATTTCGGTGTAGGTGTATTTGAACTTTGAAATGCGGTTGTGATAAGGAAATATTATACATATACATATATTTTTATATATATATTAATTTGTTTTGCATTTGTCACTTCCCATTTGAAATGATTAGCCCTTTTTAATACTAAAGTGTGCACACCTGATTTAATGTTTAATTTCTATACATTTCTATAGTTTAGTGCTAATTTTTAGACAAGAATCTGTTCCTTGGCGCTACAATTCATCTCTGTCACAGCAAAATGCTTCCGTCTCCTTCAAATGCTCACTGATTGGCACCCTCTCCCCACAATTTAAGCTCACAATAAAATTCATTCTTTCAACTTTTCCTGCATTACTATTTGTTGCAATAAATAATATTAACCATTTATACATACAAATACACAAATATATGTAAATAGCAAAGGCTCCTCACCCTTCTATCTAATAAGCTCAGCATCTTCATCAGCGATTCATATTCGTATGAATATCTGTATATATGATTACGTGTATGTGTGTGTATTAGTATCGCGCCATGCACCGCCGGATAATTTCGCAGTTTTTCGTAGCTTCTGCACTTTAGAATGTCATTGCTTGCGCTCGGTTATGTTTCGAATTTTTTTTCACAAGTCGCGCACGGTTAGCGGTCAATGGAAGAGGATAAGATAGAAAGGTTGGAAAGCTGAAGAAAAAGTAAAACTTTCACATTTCGCATATCGAATGACACTTTCACAAGAAATTTTCTGTTTTCCGAATTTTTTCGTTTATTTTCGCGACATTACGAGAA